GATAAAATTAGTAAGCTGATATTTAAATCTGGTAGATAATAATTTTGCTATAATTTTATGCAATTCATAGATGAAACTGATTGACCTAAACTCTGAAAAACTTCTTGGAGATCCTTTTTTTGGAATTATCATAACAAATGAGGAACTAATCCTGTAAATTCCAGTTGAAAATTAGGTAGAAAAGTAATCTAAATACTCATAAAATAGATTTATCAGAAGTATAAAAAATAAATAAATATAGAAAAGTAAATAAAATATTACTGTAAGTTACCTGGAAATAAAATTATCAATATATTATTAAATAAAATTCGAATTCACCCAGGTAAAAAGTTTATATAGAAAAATACCATGATCCATGAATTTTGTCTTGGAAACAAGACATTTACTATTTGGGATATAGAGGGAATTTGATAAAAAGTTGATATATATAAGAAAAAAAAGAGAGGAAACTATCATTTACATATGAGAGAAACAAAATGGTAAAGGAAACATAAAATCTTAAAAGGAGATCTCAAGAGAATATTAACCAAGCTTAATGAGCATTAATTGTAAGAAAGAAAAATCAAGTGAAGATGAATAGAAAAGGAGAGTGGAAGTTCGACTAAAATTAAAGAAGAAGAGAAGTTGGAAGCTTGAATTGGATTGTGTTTAGAGTTTATTTATTTATTTGGTAAGGCATTCTAAAGACTTTTGATCTGATTTTAATGGTTTAAAGTACTTAAGTGATTGAATTTTTAAAATTTGAAAAGTTAGGATTCTCGAATGGACTTGGGGGAAATAAAAATTTAATGTAAATTTTCATGGAGAATAATGTAAAAGTTAGACTAAAGTGATTAAGTTATTGTAATTAAAATAAAAAATAATTAATAAAAGCTAGTGGTCAGCCAATGACAATAGTCTTTCAATCTTGTTTTATGCTACCCTGTTAATGCTTTATATTTCATGATGTGAATTGATGAATAATATAGGCAATAAAACTTTTTTTTAATATTCTTTACAACTTTTTAAATTTCATGGAGCACTTGTGTTGATTTTTTAGATTGTGTGAAGTATTATTATCATGAAAATCGAAGAAGGAATAGATGTTTGATAAGGAATACAATTAATTACTTGTCTTTATTAGATTCTATATCTATTGGAGTTATGAGAAGCTAATAATTCTTGAAAAATGTTAAATTAGTGACTAAAATCCATGAATTTAACATGATTGTTATAAAAGGTGAGATATGTAAGATAGTAACGATTCAAGTATAAGACAATAACATATCAAATAATAACAATTCAGATCTAAGAGAACAACAGATCAAATAGTAATGGTTCAAGTCTAAAATAACAATAGATCATATAGTAACAGTTCACGACTTACACAATAATAGTTAGAATTTCATATGAATACTACATATATAGTCGTGTGGATACTTGCACGTTGATATATTAATTTTTAAAATTTACATTATATTTATATGTATGTTATGATAACGAAATGAACATGCATAGAAAACAATATATGTGTAATGAATGAATATGAATTCTCTATAATATTTGATTTGAAGGAATCATGACCAAAGATTTTTTTGTGATTCAGAAAAAGCGACTAGGATTAGATCTTTTGTTGGAGGAGGTTATGAGATAGGCGGATTAGGTGCGTGATTTTCCCTACTCTTTGCTCTTATGTAATTTAAAGTTTATTTAGTGAATGCAATGACAATAATTTCATGTTCAATGTAAATAAAATCTGACATATTTATAAAATTAGCTTCAACTAATGACATCTCTAATAAAATTGTTGGGAGATAAATTATAAGATTAGCTTCGACTAATGGCATCTGTGATAGGATTGCCAGGAGAAGAATTATAAGATTAGCTTTGCCTAATAATATACATGTTGCAAATTATGAGAACTTGTGATGATGAAAAGATTCTTTACAAAAAAAAATATCCTAAAATTAAAAATATATATTGAAAATTTTCAGCGTTGATAAAATCATATAGTCATGACTATTATAAATCCCTTTAGGGATTTTTCCACGGTGAAAAAAGCTATTAACCTTAGCAAAGATGTTCAAATTGAGAAAAGACCATATCTTTTTATAAAAGAAGAAAATAAATCCATCTGCTCCTAGAATCAATATACAATTATCTATATATTATTATGATTTTTTTTGAGGAATCAATATACAACTGATAGATCCATCTAGATTATACTGTTAACGGATTAAATTTTTAATGAAATAAAATTCCAAAAATATAACTACCATTTTCTTAAGAAACAATTGGAAACTTAAAAATAATAACATGCGCATCCCACGAGAAGTCAATCAAACACACAAAAATCATCTTTACATGATAACTATCAATCCTAAAAATCATCAGCAAATGAATACCAAATATTCACGTATAATATCATCAAACAACTATTCACACATACAATCACCAACCAATTATCTACACATATGATCCTCAACCAATTAGTTGCACATATCAACTGATTTTTCAAACATATAATCATATTATAGTATCTATAAATAATAATAATAATAACTCGTTTTAGACGTATGAACAACATACTGGATCTGTTGGACTCAGCCAAAAATTGCTTGATCAAGATAGAGCAGCATCGTCGCATGATGGTCAAGTGCTGACATTTTAGAATTCAATCTTATCACATTATCATATACTTGTTAAAATATACTCGCTTGTATTATTATATAGTATTTCAATATTAAAAAAATATATATCAAAAATAAATTTATAGTAATGCATCAAGCTAGATAATTTGCTTAAGATCCCACTGACAATAACTTGATTTAGATATACTAATTGAAAAAACATAGCCGCGATTTTACAGTCCATTGATTAAGTTACAAGTTTGTTTTTTCCAACAGCTCCGTTGTACTGTTTTTGTAAGCATCTATGGGCTAGTGGCCGTCGAAATTCTTAATTTTAATGCATGCATACAGTTCATTTCCAGCAAAGCCATGACATCACTCTTTATAGTCTAACCTTCAATATATATTTCGTTCAAGATCGTGATCAGTTCCACACATCCTAAGGAGTCCACATTTGTTCACAGCAAGAAACAAACATTTCTAGCAAAGAATGGAGAAAGCAGAGGTGGTGCTAATCCCCTTACCTGCTATGGGCCATATTGTAGCAGTAGTGGAGATAGCTAAGCTTCTTGTTCAACGTGATGATCGACACAACTGTCTTGGTAATGCATCCCACTCTTGATCCCAGCACTACCAAGTACAATGAATCACTTGCTGCATCAACTCTCCCTGATCGTATGCGAGTCATTAACTTGCCCAGAGTTAAGTTAATCACATCTGCTACCAAAGGTCGTAACTGGCTAACTTATTTGATTGAAGGCCAAAAACCCCATGTCAGAGAATATGTTTCAAGGATAAGAACACAATTCGAGATGAATCCGGACTCCCCTCGTCTTGCTGGGTTTGTTTTTGATACGTTTGCTACTGGCCTGAAAGCTGTGTCTAATGAATTTGGAGTTCCGTGGTATGTTTTTTCTGCTGCAAGTGCAGCTTTTATTGGTAGCATGCTGCATCTTACGGCTCTTCATGATGATCAGGGAGTGGACCTTACGGAGTTCACGAATTCGGAAGATGAATTGGAAATTCCGAGTTTGGCGAACCCAATTCCTGCTAAACTTGTGCCTTCCACGGTGTTCGAGAAATACTCACTCACAACTCTTCTTGTACATGCTCGGCTATTGACTGAGGCTAAGGGCATATTGATAAATACATTTTTGGAGTTGGAATCTTACGCAGTTAATTCTATATCCGATGGCAAAACCCCTCCTGTATACCTGGTTGGTCCCATTGTGAAACATACAGGAGATGGTCCTGATCCGCTCTCGGATGAGAGCAACAATTCTAGGGACATCATGGGATGGCTTGATGATCAACCTCCGTCATCGGTTATGTTTTTATGCTTTGGAAGTTGGGGAAGTTTTAAAGAGAACCAGGTGAAAGAGATTGCATTTGCA